TTTTCAAATTTTCATATAGTTTGCCTTTTTGGCTTAATATAAAAATAAATGCCTAAATTATAATCAAAATTAACTTTTGGTGTTTAAAGAATTTTTCACTAAAAATAGGTGCCTAAAGTTTTATCCGTTACACTTTTAGGTATCTATCGTTAAAAAAATCGTTAAGTGACATGTGTCACGTCCATATTTTTTATTTTATTTTTAAAAAAAATATGTGTTTACCTAAAAATATAACGGATAAAACTTTAGGTATCTATTTTTAACGAAATTTTTTTAGGCATTAAACGTTTTTCAAGGCATTCTGTAGGCACTTATTTTTGTAGTAAGCCTTTTTTTTATATCTTTTATTGATGATCTAATTTTACATCCTTAAAATTTTATTATTTCACACCTTAATTCTTTTAATATGATTTCATAAATTCGCATCTATAATATAAAATAATGTCGTGCCTCTGTTTGTTTAGTATGAAATTATGATTTGAACTTCTTCGGTTCATATGATTTGTATAAAGCGATATAAAACTTCAGACGAATCAAATTTTTTGTTTGGTTACTCCCTAGCTATTGTTGTTAAGTTTGAAGACTTAAATACAGTCTTAAGGTGTATAACATTAGCTAGGTATAAATTATCCTTCTGACATTTGTGAACTTCACTGCAATTCAGGTGGCCCTGGATTTTATAGGATTCATCGTCAATAAGCAACATAGTGAGAATTAGTTTATATTGCCATAGCTTAAGCTTTATAAAGGAAATTTGTTTTCTTCAATCTATTATATATATTTATTGGTTTCTCTAGTATAGTATTCAAGGCTCATTTGAACATCAGTTGTTTTTAAGAGTGAAAAAGGGAAAATAATGAGGAGAAAGAGTAGAACAACGAGGAAGAGTTAAATTTAGGTGAGATGTTTACAGCTTGCTCTAAATATCTACACTCCTTTTTCTCATGGTCTCGAGGCATTAATTTTTAGCATGGAAAATGATACTGCCTTTCAAAAAAAAAATCATCAGGAAAAATCAATTTAATTTCAAATTTAATTAGATCTAATAAATAAAAAAATAAAATTTAATTTGAATGTGATGTTGTAATTATTAATGATGTAGAAATAATTTTATTTGACTTTTATATTAAAAATTTTATTGAAAACGACCCGTACCAAATTAATTCTCTTACGAGAGAGGACAAGAATTACGTACTTATTTGGATGGGTTAGGCCTAATCTCGTGCCCTCTTACGACTCAACAGATAAAGCAAGTGAAGGTTGAGCTATTAATTGTTGCATGTGCCGCAATAAAATAAAATAAATCAAGAATCTTGTTTCGGTCTGGTCCCTTTTACTTGCTTCCATCACAAGCAATCCGATCCCCCTGATCTCTTTTACCTTTTGCTTTTGAGAAACCTACTATTAATTATGTAAATTTTAACCTAGCCCTACTTGTTTCACCGCAAGAAAGCATTTGCTTTAAGGACTTCCTCTTCCTTTAAAAAGAACCATTTTACAAAAAGTCTAGTCCTTTACGTTTGTAATAACATTTGTACAAGTATATATTTCAGTTTTTGTGTATGATCACCATATTTCACCCCCTTAATCATTCTCTTCTTCAGCATAGATCACTTTTGCATTATCAGAACATGAAGCATGCTAATTATTATTACATGTTTTTTACGGGCTGCTGTAAGAATTGAGGTTTACTTACAAAAGGAAACCGTCATACATTCTCTGGTTACGGTTGCCGTTATCATTTAGCCTTTGTTTCCGTGCTCATTAATTATTATTCCCAATATCAGAAAAAAGTAAATTAAACTAAAAATCCAACCGGATATAAAAATATATTCTTATAAAGGAAAAAAAAACGAAACGAATAGGCTATGAAAGTAGATGCCAGGTTTTGATTTCATGCAAATCTTGTCCACCTTCCTGTCATGTTAGCACTGCCTGCTCAATTTGGAAAGGGCCATACACTTTGTCCTTGCTGACCCTATACTCAATCATAACACACACCCTTGATTACAAATTCTTTTGACCCCCTTTCCTTCATGATTTTTGTTATATGTAATAATATTTGCCGGAGAATCTTTAGGTTTTGTCTCGGCATAATTTCTTCTTCGGAATTTAAAAATTGCGCTTTTACGTCTTTGATAATATAGCTCAAAAGTTGATTGCTTACAGCATCTCAGCTTTAATATATGTTTACATTTTTCATGGGAGGGTGACCGCTTGTCGTCCATGAAAGAAAATGGAGTATAATTCAAGAAAAGCTGGTAGAAAAGAGAAAAACACTGCATTGAAATGTCTAGTTCGGACAGTGTTGTGGTCTGGATGTTAATAAATTAAGCGATCAATAATTCAACATGACGTAATTTTGGAACTGCCATCATGTAATGTGGTACATTAATTAAGATAATCAATTAACTCTATCTTAGGAATGGCAGAACCGCCCGAACCCGATGGGGAAACCCGAAATCCGGCTAAGTTCGATTCGGGTCGGATATCGGGGTAAAATTTGGGGATTTTTTTGGGTTCGGTTTAGGGGACGGGACAAGGTATCCCCGTCCCGCCCCGATTATATATATATATATATATATATATATATAATATTTTATATTTTTTATATTAATTATTAAAGTAAAATTTTGTTGATTTATTGATAAATTTCTCAATGTAGGGAGCTACCAAAGAAAGTGATAAAAGTGACACGACGATTTTGAATGACTTTATTTGACTTAATATTACGTATGCATCTTCGTTGTATGATTTGAATATCGGAACAAGTTTGTATTTAATTATGTATGTGTTTTATGTTGGAGTTTAGACAATTATTTATAATTGAGTTTGAATTTATGACTGTAGTTTGAATTTTAAATCATGTAGACTAATTTTCCAATTTTTTGTGATAGTTTTTTTTTCTACTTTTATGAAAACTACGGCTAGTCAACATTTCGGGTCGGGTTCGGGGACGGGGTAAAAAATCCCCGACGGAACGCCCCGATAAAAAACCCGACGGGAACAGGGCTAGAACGGGGACGGGGGAGCAAAACCCGCCCGAACCCGCCCCGTTACCAGTCCTATTCTATCTCGTTTCTGCTGTGTCCCATTGCTTAGATGCTAATCAACAATTTGGCTTTCCCAAAACTGCTATTTGCAGATTCTGTTAATTATTTCAGTGTGATGATTAATTAATGGTAATGGTCTGTCTAGTTTTGATGTATGTTTAAGGCATGATGAAATGAAAAAAAAGAATTGCAGCCGATATTGATTACAATAAATGATCCAGCTAATTGTATTCAATACCACCTTAATATTTTTTAACTAAGTTGTTCATAAATTTTTAAGCTATAAGTAATTACGATTAAACACACTTAAATTCTAAGTTTTATTTTTTTAATAATTTAGAGGATTATAATGTAATATATATTCAAAAAATATCATAACTCATTGATAACACACTTTGTAAGGAGTACTCTAGGAAGAATAACATCCATTTTACTGGTGAATCTACATACTTAATAAATTTAATCTTTTAAATGTTATAATAGTAATATCATATAAACTAGTATTCGACCAATTCATAACACTTCGATGTTGTTATTAGGATAAAAACTTTATTTTCTTCGTAACAAATATGTCTAAACACGCTTACACTCGTATTTTCTTACATGTTGTGATATTAAAATAACTTAGAAATCACAAAAAAGTGAAAAATGAAAGGAAATCTTGCTATAATTATGATTACAATTGGTAAAAAATGTAATAATGAGGTTTCTTATGAGTTTAAAGCTAGCTTGTACGCAGCGACGGAGCTCCTTTAGGGGTAAGGGCCCAACCCTAGTTAAAATATATATATGCGATATAATTTTGGTTTAATAATATTTTGGTTAATGTAACAATAAATATTTAAATTTAAAAAATATAAAAATTTATTAAATATTTAATCAAGTAGGGTCAAACTAAAGAATGATAAATCTGTGTTCTCAAATTTTTGGTCTAATTACAATTTAAGTCATTGTAAGTTTAATATCAGACAAATTAGAAGTTGTTTTTTGAGTTTGAGTTTTTTTTTTTTAATTTAGGGTGAATACAAGGTAATATCTGTACAAATACTTTCAACTATTTCACAATGAACGCTCAGACCCCTACATACGTGCTTGAACTCGGGACCTTAAGGATAACAACAATCTCTTAATCACTAAGGTCTTCTTGTTCATACTGAATTTCGAGTTTAAATATCTAATAAGTCTTTATATTTTTCTTAAATAGTCTAATGTTTCGACCCTTCCAATATTTAATTCTGATTTTATCTTTCTCGTACGCTCACTTATTACTCGTTAAGAAACGATATTATTAAAACACAGTGACATTTTGAGTACCGGTTAATTTTATTTTGTTGTTGTTTCATTGCATAATTGCTTGACTTTGAGGAGCGCTCATACTTTGTGGCAGTTGATTGAAGTGATTTCTTTTATGGACTTTGAGGGGGAAAGCCTATACTTTATGCACTTCATTACATGCGACGTTTCAGCAGAAAATTTCAACAACATTGTTCTAGAACCAAATGTAAGTAATGATAACAACATATATTATATATATGTGTGTGTGTGGGAGAGATGATATTCACTTAAGTAAAGAATAACAAAGCATCCATGGTGGGACACTTCTATAAACATTTGATATATCAAAGTGAAATGACATTAATTTTTACCATGCACGTATATATAAGCAGGCCTCTTGTATATATATAATGCAAGGTGTCGACCTTCAAATCTTTTACTGTTTCAGATACACAGATTCACATCCAGTACGAAATCAGTGAGTCTAAAAAGTGGGTCTTGTTAGAAACAACATTGGGTCCCAAGTCTGCATATATGCCACGTGTACAAGAAACCCACCTCAGAGAAATGAAGAGAGAGAGAGGAGGAGGGAGGATTCCATTATAAGGATAAATTATTTCATAGACCCGACTCATCATGTCATCTATGATCCTAATAAATACAATTTAAATTAACTTCCAAATAACAACTCACCCTTGTTTACGTACGAAAGAATTGAAGATTTATTTTGAAAAAAATGATATGGAGAAATATTATTAATTTGAATCACGGATAATATGGTGATTCGAGACTAAGCTGTAAACGAGCCGAGTGGAGCTCGACTCCAAAAGTTTAAAATTAGGCTCTAATCGACTCGAAAACTCGCGAAAATTATCAAGCTCAGCTCGAACTCGAATATAATATTGAAACTCGACTCGAAAAGGCTTGAACTCAAAAAAAATTCAAGAGCTCGATTCAAGCTCGACTCAAACTCGAATTTGAACCAACAAAAATATTATTTTAATTTAAAATATTTTTTTTTTAAAATTTATAATTATCAATAATGTATTTTTAATAATGTAATTTAAAAAAAACTATAATTATAATATAACATTTTTTCAAGTAGCTCGTGAGCTTTTCGAGTCGAGTATTAAGTAGTTCGTTTTAGCTCGTTAAGAATTCGAGTCGAGTTCGAGTTGAGCACATTCGATTCAAGTTTGATCGAGCTTTGATCGAATCGATCTCGAATAACTCACGATCTGTCTTATCTCATTTACAGTCCTATACGAGACTATTTAATAATTTCTCCATTATAAGCCATGCAACTCTTACAGGCTGACACTGCAGATTTTAACCTTTTGCCCTCAAACCCTAACTGGGCGACCAACATTAAATTCACTCTACTGCTGCACTCTTCTCAGTCTTTTAAAATCGCCTCTTTTACTTTAAGCCAACTTAGAGGGCTTACCTCTTAATATCTTACTTTCCCTCCCCCCCTTTTTTGGGCCTGCTTATCATTTTTTCACTTTTGAGAAAAAAAAACAACTCTTCAGCACTGAATCTAGCTGTCATTGGCTGTAAAGATGGGGCACCATTCTTGTTGCAACAAGGAGAAGGTGAAGAGAGGGCTATGGTCACCCGAGGAAGATGAGAAACTTATTAACTACGTTACAGCTTATGGCCATGGTTGCTGGAGCTCTGTCCCTAGACTTGCTGGTGTGGTTCTTTTTCCATCTCAATTCTCGAACGTTGGACTAGTTTTTAGAAGCCCTTTCTTCTTCTTTCACAGGCAAAAACTACAAAAGTCGATTGCATTAATTTTGATTACTTGTTTATTTCCTATTCCATGTTTGTTCCTATTCGGGTTTGTTTCATGATGCAGGCCTTCAAAGATGCGGAAAAAGCTGCAGATTAAGATGGATTAATTACCTCAGACCTGATTTGAAACGTGGGAGTTTCTCTCCACAAGAAGCAGCTCTCATCATTGAACTCCATAGTATTCTGGGCAACAGGTAACTTCAAATGGAAGTGCTTACTATAATCACGGTAATCATCTATGTATTTTCTTTTCATTTTTGTACTTTTAACGTTTTCTTGAACAGATGGGCACAGATAGCGAAGCATTTACCAGGGAGAACAGATAATGAGGTGAAGAACTTTTGGAATTCAAGTATCAAGAAGAGGTTTATAACCCATGATGTTGTTCCACCTTTTGCCTCTTTGGTTGATGTTCACAATTCCAAACCCCAAGAGGAAGCAGCTGATTTTGTCTCTCTAAATTTAAACCCTAATTTGATCCTCAGTGATCAACAACGAGACCAGCTCCATCTTTCCCCATCAGCATCACTGCTACAAAGCTTTGCTCATGACGCAGATTTTAAGCCAAACCCAAGCAATGACACCGTTGATTTGATTCACCATCATTTCCCATTAACCCCAATGCACCCGCCCCTTTCAAATACAGCTTCCTTCGACCCTTCGTGGTCATTTCCCTTTGTTGCACCCCAACATGATCTGCATCATCCCCAAAATAAAGAACATCACGTCCCAAATTTGAGCAATGAAGTAGTTCAAGATATTGTGAGTGACATGCTTGTAAACCAGATCGCTGGCGTCAATCCTTATGAGTACGATACGTTAATGGCAACCCAAACAGTACCCAAACTCTGTGAAATCCTTAAAGGAAACCTCTGCAACATGCCCTAACATCCGTTTCATTACAAAACATAGACCCATTAGTCTCCTGGCTCTCATCGTGTTTTCCTATATCTGCTGGTTCATCATATTCGCAGAACATGTACGTGGCAACAAACCAGATGGAGTTCGTTGATTCCATCATCACACCGATTCCATTATCATCATCATCGTCATCTTATTCTTCTTCTTCATCATCATCTTTATCAGCTTTTTCCAATGGGCAATATATCACAAACCCTACTCTTCCATGGGACCCTTAAGTAGGATAGATTCACTATTTTATAATAGAAATGGCACTGGATTTATCTAGGTACTTTTTCTACTGTTTCACTCGATCAATACAAGAGCAATTATTCTCTTGAAATATATATGTATATATACATATGTATATTATGTGTAGGTTGTTATATATAAGAGAAAAAAAGTTTAAAACCTAAATGTTACTATTTTAGACATCAAGTAAAGATAATGCTCGAAGATTTTCCATATATAAATTTAGTTTTTTCCTAACAATATCTACCTAGAGAAGGGGAGGAGAATTTTGCTCTTATTGAGTATTAAACTCTCAACTTATGAGAGATCAGAGATGTCAACTAAAAATTTTTAATCACATATTTTAGAGATTGTTGACATAAATTTAATTTCTTAATTTCACGATTTACTAGTTCAAAATATATTTGTATATCAGATTAATATCTACTGTTTAGTTTCTCTATTTTACCATTCCATTTTGTATATTTCCTTTCAATATATATTATACATATAGAGGTAGAATCAAATATTAAAATGAGTAAATTATCAAAGTTTAATCTTATATTAAAAAAGAAAAAGTACAGACATGGAAGGGCACAGGCCCACGTTGGTAGTAAATTAGTGTTACTTGCCTAAAGTTTTGTGGTTGTAATTGGAGAAAATTTTGAGCTTATATTAGGAATGCATCAATTATTAACAAAGGAAAGATGAAGACAAAGCAAGGCGGCCCACTCCGCCCCCGACACGGAAATTTTCATCAATGCCTGGCCACTGGTTGTCAACTGATAATTGAACAGAGCTGCAGGCCCCAAAAGATACGGCCTTTAGAGCTTTTTTACGCCATCGCCACTGTTAATGGCTCTTAAATTTCGGCAGTAAAAAAAAGTTAAAACTCAGTCGTCTAATTATGAGTTTAATAATATATAAAATTATTTTTAAGTTATTTTATCATGTACACTTTCATTTAGCAACATTTAACTTTCAAAAGAAAAATTTATCTCAAGGCTAGATACCGATACGATTTCCTATGGTTGCTTAGTACTAGAGTTGGTCTTGTCGGGAGACAAATTAGAAATGCAACAGAATCAAAGGTAAGACACTATCCTTTGACCATAAGAAAGAAGAAGAAAGGGAGTCAAATATCCGTTAACACTTGTCTAGTGTGATAATTGAGTGGTGAGTTATGTAATTTACTTATAAAAAAGTGTCTGTAATAGTTCCGTTAAGTATTTAACGTCGAAATATCAAAACGAAACCAAAAATTAAACATTAGGTATGGTTTTGAAACAAATGAAAATTTAGATACTAATCAAAACAAAACTGATAGTTTAGGTATAAAATGTATAATTTACCCAAATAATAATGAGAGAATAAAATGAAATCAAGGTAAATTGTGGAGGTAATTAAATACTTAGCAAACAAGATAAAATGAACCAATGAAAAGTTAATTTTTAGTTAAGAAGAACGAATGCATGAGTATACCAGCAAGTGTGACATTTATAAACTTCGGTACAACAGTAAATAGTGGACATCGATGAGAGAAACTAGGGATGGCAATATACCCGAACCCGACGGGAAAACCCGAAACCGGTCAAGTTCGGGTCAGTCGGGTTGAATGATATCATGTCAGGTTCGGGAATATTTTTCGGGGATTTGTTCGGGTATGGTTCGGGTTCGGGGCAAGGTATCCCCGCCCGGACCCGCCCCGATTATATATATATATATTTTTATATTTTTATATTAATTATATATAATTTTTATTTTTTATATTAATTATATATAATATGGGTTCGGGTTCGGGTATAATATTTCGGGTCGGTTCGGGACGGGGCAAAAAAAACCCCGACGGGGCGCCTAATAAAAAACGTCGGGTCGGGTGGGAATTCATTTCGGTTCGGGACGGGGAGCAAAACCCCCCGAACCCGACCCGTTGCCATTCTAAGAGAAACAATAAATCAAGTAACCATGGGATTAAATAAGAGAAAACCTCAGCCTTATAATACGATTTTAACCAACTTTTTTGGATTTGCCAAAATGACCAACTAAATCGCAATGCGATCATAATTCGTAACGCGATCTCTGGTATCGCAAATCAGTTTCCAGATTCGCAACGCGAACTTCGACTATCGCAACACGAACTTACTATCGTTGCGATTTACATATTCGCATTGCGATAGTCCAAGTTCGCGTTGCGATTTTCAAATTCGTTGCGATAGTCGAAGTTCGCGTTGCGATTTATTCAAAATTCGTTGCGATAGTCCAAAATCGCAACGACTGGTGTATTGTATTTGTTTCTTAAGAATTTTCTCTAAAAATAGTATTCGCGCGGACGTGTCGAAGACACGTATTACCACGACCACGACCACACACGACACGAGAAGAGACGAGACGGAGGGCGGTGGCGGCGCGCGAGAGTCCCCTTGTTCTCTATCACTCAACAAGAAGTGAAAGTCAAGCCTTAATATCATTCCAATAGTGTTTCCAATACTATGTGGGATTGAGCATTACCACACTTGTTCCAATACAATGTGATTATTCAGAAACAATTAACAATCATGCACCTTAAACAACTGAATCAACAACCAATTGCATTAGTTTTATACGATTAATATGTCATAATTAAGTCATCTACAATCAATCGCGATTATGCAATTTTAAGCAAAACATTCAAAAATATCACTATTTAAGGCTCATCCCACATAGTATTGGGAACAAGTTGGTAATTCTCAATCTCACATAGTATTGGAAACACTATTGGGAATGGTATTTAAGACTTGCTTTCCCACTTCTTGTTGAGTGATAGAGAACAAGGGACTCTCGCGCGCCGCCGCGGTCTCGTGTCTGGTTGTGGTGTTGTGGTCGTGGAATACGTGTCTTCAACACTCCGCGAATACTATATTTTTAGAGAAATTCTTAAGAAACAAATGCAATACCACCAGTCGTTGCGATTTTGTACTATCGTAACGAATTTGGAATAAATCGCAATACGAACTTCGACTATCGCAACGAATTTGGAATAAATCGCAACGCGAACTTCGACTATCGCAACGAACTTTGAATAAATCGCAACGCACTTGGACTATCGCAACGAATTTGGAATAAATCGTAACGCGAACTTCGACTATCGCAACAATTTGGAAATGCAACGCGAACTTCGACTATCGCAATGCGATAGTCAAGTTCGCGTTGCGAATCTGAAACTGATTTGCGATACCGGAGATTGCGTTGCGAATTATCGATCGCATTGCGATTTAGTTGGTCATTTTGAAATCCAAAAAAAGTTTGTTAAAATCGTATATTATAAGACATTTTTTGTCACTGAAGTTATTTTCTTTAAATAAATTTTGAAAAAGTTTATAATATAGTTTAGTAGAAAAACAAAAGAGAGCATTTTATGTTCGTTTTTTTGATGATGTCTCAAATTCGTCACGTTAAGATGAGATGGTCTCATGTCCATGAACTCCACGTGGACCGATATTGTACATATTTTCAAAGAGTCGTTACATCAAGGTGACGATTGATGAGTCTATTGAGAAATAATTTTATCTTTTTAAATTTAAAACAAAATAAAAAACTCATCACGTCTAGGTAATAAATTATCCTGAAATTTTAAAAAATAATCGTTAGACAACAACAGCTTTTAAACTTTTTAAATTTTAATTTTTGAAATCCTAACACTGGCGAGCTTAACAACACAAAATAAAATCTTAAACTCCAAACACCTATTTATAACCCAAACCCAACATTACAAAACAACTATATTTTTCAAAAATTCAACTTAAGTCGTCACTTCGAGTGATGAGATTTACCTTGACGTTGAAATTTGACGTTGTAACTGCCCGTTGCACAACGATATAAATGGCTATTTTTTTTTTAAATTCAATAGAAATTTATCATCTCGACATGACGAGTTCTCTAATTTTTAATTTTTTTTTTTTAAATTTTCAAAAGATAAAAAAATTAACTTTATACATGACTCCTCGTCTCCTCGACGGAACTAGTCTTTAGAAACATATTATAATAGTAGCTCATGTGGGGCCTATGGACTTGAAATTATAGCAAATATTTTTTAATTGAATTCGTCACCCTAACATGATAATTTTATGTTTTATTGTAACTTCTATTATGTTTTACTGTAGTATCTACTGTGAATTACAAAATAAATTTAGAAATAACGGTTGTAACCAAATAATTTGGCCGCTGCGGTAATGGCAAAAAATACCCTTGTAATGTTACCATACACAGTGACGATCAACACTTTTGGACCCAATTCTTTTAATGGCACAAATTCATGATTTTTTTAGTCTTTTCGGTTTCAAAATTTTGATTTGATTAATTTGGAAGGATTCGTTTTATTCATGATTTTTTTATTAATTAAAGTTATTATAATATAATATTTATTTAATATTTTTAGTATTAAAAATAAATATTTTATTAAGGTTAAATTCTCTAAAAAAAGAAATTGTTTTTAGCTATTAAAATCAGTTAATAGGTCCAACCCATGATTTGAAGTGCCTTTCTTAAGTTAAAGGGTAAATTACAAATTTGGTAACTGAACTTTACTCTTTCTCCTATTTCACTCACTGTACTTTAAATCTTTTCAATTTCCTCACTGAACTTAATACATTGGGTTTTTTTGTCACTCGGCCGTGTTAAATAGTTAACGACATTAAAATGAGCTGTTATACAGATGCAAAACGACGTCGTCTTGATGAAAATTTTGTTTTTTTAAAACAACATTGTTTTTAACGCTGTTAACTATTTAAGGGGTGACTAAAATAGGAGAGAGTGTAAAATTCAGTGAATGAAAAAAACCAATGTATTAAGTTTGGTGAGGAAATTGAAAACTTTTAAAGTTCAATGAGCTAAATAGGAGAGAGTAAAATTTAATGATGAAATTTGTAATTTACCCTAAGTTAAAACATAAAATAAAAAACTAAAAGTTTTTCAAAGTGACATTGAATGAATTATTTACATTATCCATTTATTTACGTCAAAATATATTTATAATTATGCTTGTGTTGCACGTTTATCTCTGTCTTTGTGGCACGTTTATATATGTCTTTGTGGCACGTTTTAAAATTTTTTTCTCGGTCGTTTGTTCGTTTTTTTATTTATTTTTTCTCATGGTTGAATTTAACTGACGTCACAACTGATCAAGATGACGCTCATTTGAAATCTTGTTGATATTCCCTGTTATGACCTTTGGATTGAATTTGTATGCGTGATTTTACGTTTGTGGATAGTTTCTCACGACGTTCAGTCTAATCTGCAGATCTCGGTGGTCTTTCTATAACTTAATTTCTTTTGTGGTTCGTTTGCTGATGCAATCAGATTTTTTTCGTATCTATTTTTGTTCAAGTCTCTTGGTTGGGTTTTCAAAATTTTTTGTATGATTCTTATATGATATAAAATGATTAGTTTTAATGTTATAAGAAAAGTCCAAATTATGTATTTAGTTTACGATGATAGTTGTAAACTCTTATTATAATTTTGAATATTTTCTTTTTTAATAATACTAGTCGTTTCTATTAAAAAAATACTTACAATTTAATTATATATCGATGACAACTTGTAGAGAAAATGTATCATTATTTCACCCAAAGAAAATATAAGTACCGGTCAAAGTAGCTCCAAAAAGAAATAGGGTATCACTTGCATATATACTTTCGTTAACTGCTGCTTCACGGACCTTGTCTCCTTGCAGAGAATCAAGTGGTATCCTCTAAAATTTGGGAAAACAAAATTCCAGTTTAAGTCCTGGAAATTTCATCATACATCATGAAGAAAGTAGGCATTCGTCGACAATGATGCACGAAATACAATTATCATGCATGAATACATATAAAAAATATTACAAGATGAAAACAATTTAATCGTCCTCGGTGCAAGAATCAAAATTCTAAAATCCCTACAATTTATTCCACTATGCAGTAACAAGGCCTTGTCAACTTGTGGTCATTTATACTAAAAAGCACTACTGATATCGTCCCGGAAGAGATCACTAACCTTTTTAGAAAAATAGATGTTGGTCTTGGCAAGACTAATTTTGTGTCTTAAACTGTCGAAAAAATTTCGAAGAACCCTTTTATATAACATTAAGTTGATCGAATGATGTTTCAGCAAAAAGAATAAGACCATCTGTAAAAAAATAGATGTGAGAGATGTGGACCATTCTTGGAGAGCCGAATCGGATGCCAAAAACCATCAGAAACCTTAATAGCCATCCAACCAATGCTCCCTTGCTTGCATTTCATCGAATGAATCACTTCCTGGACAATAATGATGTTGTCCAAGTTGTTACGATCCGGGACAAAGCTTGTTTGCCCCTCCGAGATCCATTAGGGAAGAAAAGGCTTCAGTCTATCGACTATAATCTTTGTGACAGTCTTGAGGAGAACAGTAAAACTTAAGGGAAGCAATTTTCGGAATTAGCACCAAACGGGTACGATTGGTCCCAGTGGGAACCTCGCCATGATCAAAGCAATTGCGTATAAACCTGCAGACAGTCAATTCCTTTGATAAAAACAGGCATGGAAGTCGTCAATTCCAGGAGCCTTCAAAGGGTGCACATCGAATATAACTCACTTGATCTCATCCGCCGTAACTAGGCTAGAAAGAACATTTAAAGCATCAATAGAGAATTGATGGAAGCATCCACGAGTATTATATGTGTAACAACCTTCTCCACTACTAGAGAAAAGTCTTGAAAAGAAGCTAATAACCCTTTGCTTAAGAAGTTGCTGATTGGAGCACCAAGACTCACCATCCAAACACAAGGACAAAATTGTATTTGCTCGCCTTCTATTCTTTGCACAAGCATGAAAATAGTTGGTATTCCGATCTCTATAAAAGTGCCAATTAAAAGAGAGATTAATAATCTTTTCTTTCTCCCAATATCCCCAAAGACATTCTTGTTCCAGTCCATCAGTTTCGGCTTGAGCGACACAAGATTGTCTTTGATATTAATCGAACTATCCCAATTCGAGCATAAGACATCTTGGAAATTTGGATGGTCTTGCCACGCAAGCAAATATCGAAACGGAACAGGTTCTAGATTAGAAGAAACAGGTGGTATTCTGAGAAGAATCGGACGATGGTCAGATCCGAAACGGTCTAAATGGTAATTAACCGAATCCGAAAACCGAGTCACTCAAGATTCATTAGCTAAGTATCTATGAAGGCGTTGACATAAGGATCCTCTAGCCCAAGTAAAAGGATAACCAATATCACAAAGTGCGTTATCAAACACTAAAATTTCTGCTCAATTCGCTTCTTCGGGTTGTGCCTCCCATTATATCACTTGCATGGAGAATGACATTGAAATCTCCTCCAAGGAGCTAAGGAAGAGTATGGCCCGTGTTAAGTCTCTCAAGCTGCGACCAAAGATATTTCCTGAACATAATGTTAAGGCTGACGTACGTAAACAATTGTTATGTGGATCGGAATATCTAAAAAAGAAGAGTTCACAAAAATATGCAAGAATTGATTCGAGAAGGTTGATGTGAATATCGTTATTCCATAAGAGCCAGATTCCCTCACTAAAGCCCTGAGCTTCAACACCGAAAGAATTTTGAAAACCCAGCCATTTAATAAAATCATCAGCAAAGTAACAACTAATTCTAGTCTCCATCAAAGCCACCAACGTAGGTCGAAAATCACCCATAAACCTCTTAAACTGACCACGAAACGAAGGGGTAGCTGCGCCATGAGTATTCCCATATATATATATATATATATTGCATTAATTAATTTATTCTTAAAATTTGTTGATGAAAAAAGAAAGGAAGAAAGTTTAAGTGATGGATATGAAAGTAGAGTTTAAATCCAACTCCAAAATCCAAACCGCTGCATTGATATTCAGTTTTATTTCAGGAAAAAGAAAAACAAACCACGGCATTGATTTCACCATTAATGACTAGCACCACCTTTGTTCGTGCGTTCATCATCGATCAGCTCTTAAAGCTAAGCTATATATATATAGTGAGAGTTTAAGTTTAACACACAAAATAAGGCCAACCAGTGAGAGCCGCATAGAGGTTTTTGCTCGGAGTTTGATTAATCTGTTGTTTAGCCTTTCATGGCAGTACTGAAACTTTTTATTTGTTTGATTCTTTGGCTCAACTCTCTCTCTCCTCTTCAAGGTTTTCTTTGTTTCCCTATCTAAAATCTGGAAAACCATCTCATTTTCGTCCGTTGTGTTGTTTTTTTTTTATTGAATAATCTGGGTTTGATTGATGAATATTGCAGGCGGCAGCGATAAGTATGAATTCAGATACCCGTTCATCAAAAGGGCGGGTTCATTATCCTCACCGTTCTCATCATCAAAGACAGACCAAGTGACTTATGATTACATAATCGTGGGAGGTGGGACGGCAGGGTGTCCGTTGGCGGCCACTCTGTCTCGGAACTTCAGAGTGTTGGTGTTGGAGAGGGGAGGGGTTCCTTTTTCAAACCCCAACGTCTCCTTCCTCGGCAACTTCCACATTTCGTTGGCGGACACTTCGCCGTCGTCGGCTTCCCAACCTTTCGTTTCCACGGATGGTGTGATCAATGCAAGGGCTAGGGTCTTGGGTGGTGGCACTTGCATCAATGCTGGGTTCTACACCAGAGCTAACTCAGGGTATTTCCCATTTTCTTAAAATTTACACATATCTGTTCAAATATTGACCTGAGAATTCTCTAGAAAAAGAAATCATTAATTCATGAGAGAATATTCATTAATATCTGGGAAAAGTAGTTCACATGCTATAGCAAATTATACACACGAAGATGATGGTTAAGTGGAAAACTAGAAATTCTAGACGCGCACGACAAAGCCTTTATTATGTTTTTAGGGTCCCCCCGTATTGCTAAAATTTATTTTGAATGCCGATAGTCTTGGTGGTCCCGTGGCCTAACCTCGGTTTCATGAGAGGATGATTAGGTAAGGTATTTGGTCCACCATAAGATTAGGAGTAGGCATAATTTTCTTTTTGCTTCTTAATTCCTTTTTAATTGCTGTTTCTGCATTATTGTTACTTATTAACCCCATAAGCAATCTATTTAGAAGTCGAGAAAAAAATTAATCTGAACAAATGAGATCTTAGATAAATTATATTTAGATTTAATCCAATTAAAGGAAACTTTTACTTTCATTTCAATAGAGAACATGGGTATTTAACAATAGATACAAAGCAGAAATAGTTGAAAATCTAGCTATATTGCCACCAAGTGCAGATTAAGCATTGATGTGTGTAGTTTGTTGCAGTTTCATTAGAAGAGGGGGGTGGGATGCAAGGCTAGTGAATGAGTCGTATCCATGGGTGGAGAAGCAAATTGTTCACCAGCCTAGACTAGCACAATGGCAGCGTGCCTTCAAGGACAGCCTTTTGGATGTTGGTGTCACACCTTTTAATGGATTCACCTACGATCATATCTTTGGAACAAAAGTCGGAGGCACCCTTTTCGACCGCTTCGGCCGTCGCCATACTGCGGCTGAGCTGCTTGCTTCTGCAAACCCCAAAATGCTCACCGTCTTGGTTTATGCCACCGTCCAGAAAGTCTTGTTTGATCAAACAGGGAAGAGACCAAGGGCAATGGGAGTGGTTTTCAAGGATGAAAATGGTAACCTGCATCAGGCATTTCTCACGAACAACCGGAGGAGTGAAGTGATTTTATCATGCGGTGCAATCGGAACTCCTCAGATGCTAATGCTAAGTGGTATTGGTCCCAGGGCTGAACTCCAGAAATTGAACATTTCAGTGGTTCTGCACAATGAGTTTGTTGGCAAGGGCATTGCTGATAATCCCATGAACTCACTTTTCGTCCCAACTAATCGACCGGTGGAACAGTCCCTTATTCAAACCGTAGGCATTACCAAGAAGGGAGTTTACATTGAATCTAGCAGCGGATTCGGACAGTCCCGGGATAGCATTCATTGGCATCATGGAATAATGTCCGCAGAGGTGATATGAAACTATTGATTAATTAACTAAGAAGAGACGATTAATATAAACTTTATCAGAATGCAGTGTTTAATCCTGATGGTTTCGGTCTTTTTGTCATACTGAACCAGATCGGCCAGCTGGCTACGATCCCTCCTGTGCAAAGAACACCCCAAGTGATCAAAGCTTTCATCAAAAGAAAGCGAGACCTACCACATGAAGTATTCAAGGGAGGTTTCGTTTTGGAAAAGCTTGCCAGGCCCCTTTCCTCAGGCCACCTCAACCTGGTCAAAACCAACATTGATGACAACCCTTCAATTACCTTCAACTATTTCCGCCACCCACGAGATCTGCAGCAGTGCGTCGATGGGATCCGCACGGTTGCAAAAGTTGTACAATCAAAACATTTCACAGACTTCACCAAGTGTGACAAACCAACTGTAGAGAAGCTTCTTAACATGAGTGTCAAGGCTAACATTAACCTTATACCAAAGCATATTAATGACAACAAGTCCCTAGAGCAGTTCTGCAAAGATACTGTGCTAACAATTTGGCATTACCACGGAGGGTGCCACGTTGGCAAAGTGGTGAACCCTGACCTCAAAGTTATTGGAACCAACCGACTCCGGATCGTCGATGGCTCCACATTTAGTGAATCCCCTGGAACTAATCCTCAGGCTACTGTCTTGATGATGGGCAGGTAAGATTTGAATACACATATGATTGGTTATACCAGCATCAACCATTTTGACATATGCTGGTTTTGAGCTGAATTAACCAGGCTTGTTTTTTGTTTTTTTTTTCAGGTACATGGGGGTCAAGATTTTGAGAAGAAGACTAGGAAAACCTGCTAATGTGTAACGACTTGCGACCAACTGGTGGCATTTCAAGAGCAGTGTTTGTTTGTAGTAGTACTTAAGTGTATGTAGAGATTAGCTTGCCACGGGAAATTTAGCATTTCCATTGCTGTTAATTTATATCATGAACGAAGTCGTCTTGACTCTGCTCTCCTAATGCCTGGTGTCAAGGTTGATGTTTCTTTGCCGATATATAATAAAATATTTAAGGATCCAAGCGTTGTTATTATCGATCCTCCTACATTTTTGAAGCAAAACCCGACATTATATAATCTAATCAAAATTTACCATATAACTTCACCATATGCATAGGGTTCTCTTTGTTAATGCATGTCTCTTCTGTTTTTCTTTTTCACGGAAAAATGGTTGCAGAAAAGAAGATAAACTTGCAGGAAAACAACAATAATCCCGGGAGGGGGGGAGGGGGTGGAATGCGCCTAAACCAAGCAAAAGATAATACAGGGTGCGGCATTTAAGTGCATGTTAGTGTTAACTCTTGGTGCATGCATGTAACAGAATAAAGCATAAGTCTGCATTCAGTAAATTTTTCAGTTCTTGTTCAAGAAAGCCAACTCTAATTACTCATAGAAGATACTGTGACATCAATGGAAAGGGGTTTTAGCAAAATTTTAACGAGACCCTAGCCAAAATTTGACAGAAAATCCATGCTCACTTCGGCTGCCTCTCGAAAAACTTCGTATTCTCTGCAAGAAATGCCTTCTCCTTCCTGTTCCTAGAGGAGCCGAGCACGAGTGCCTACTAAACGACCCGGGCTCCTGCACCTCAAGCCCTGGTGGGATACTTAAAAAAATCCGCTGCAGGCAGTGCTATATTGCTTTCACGGCTATAATTATAGCCAGGTATTGGGTGATAGGACTGTGAATCTTCCACAAGCTCACTTGAAAGTCTACTAAGCTTATTATCTACAGTTGTAGGAAAGTTGTCCGGGATATCAGCTTTCGGTTCTACCTCCATTTTCTCATCAAATTCATTACATACAAGTTTTAATGCTTGAACAACTTCACCCATGAATGGACGATGAGATACTTCTGGCTGCACGCACATTGATGCAATTGCCGCTACCTTGGCAATGCTATCTAACAAGATATCAGATTTTATGACCGGATCGATAATGATTTCTAAACCTTCCTTGTCTGTTAGGAGTGGACGAGCCCATGCAACGAGATTTTCTTGACCTGGGGGCTGCAACAAGTCCACAGGTTTCCTCCCTGTTAAGAGCTCAAGTAGGACCACCCCATAACTATAAACATCACTTTTGACAAGCAGGTGCCCTGTCATTGCATACTCTGGTGCTAAGTAACTGGAAAAATAAGCTCATCAGTAATAAGTAATCTCTATGTAGAAACAAGCAAAGAACAAAAAAAGTGCCATCATCACTACATTCTAAGCAACGAGACAGATGATTCTCATGAGGCACACAAGTATTGGAAAAGCTTCACTGAGAAAAGATAACTGGTCATGAAAACTAAAAAGGATTGATTCAGGAATGATAGTAAAGAAGTTCATACCCGAATGTTCCCATTACATGTGTTGAGATGTATTTGTTCCCTTCATCCAATGCGGTTCTAGCCAATCCAAAATCTGAAACTTTAGGGGTAAAATCATGTTCCAGCAAGATGTTGCTGGATTTGAAGTCTCGATGTATAACCCGGGGATTGGAGTCTTCATGTAAATACGCTAAGCCTCGGGCTGCACCAAGCGCAATCTTCATTCGTGCACCCCAGTCAAGTGGATTGGTTTCCTTCTCAGCTCCTGGGAGAACATAGATATAGAATTAAACAATCTCTAATCTGTAATATATAACAGCCTATTCACTGAGTGAAAAATGAGAAAGGGAATTTCACTTATGCTGAAGATATTCACCGTGTAAATGGGATTCAAGACTTCCATTAGGAACAAGTTCGTAGACAAGACAATGTATATTGTCCTCGGTGCAAATGCCAATCAGTTTAACAAGATTTCTATGGTGCAGGCGGCTAAGCATCTCCACTTCTGCCAAGAACTCTTGTCCCCCATGTTGGTCCTCCCTCTTCAGAACTTTAACAGCCACTGCAGCTCCATCATCCAAACTGCCTCTATAGACAATGCCAAAACCTCCTTCACCAATCACCCGAGAATCATCGAAGCTATTTGTCGCTCTTTCTATATCATTCAAGGTGAAGTTCTTTGCCAATCCAGTATATGTCATCCCACTGGAACTAATAGACAATGATGCAGCACTGGATTTGCTTCCTTGCATAACAGGCCTAGCTGACCCTGTTGGATTTGGATTTCATGGTTTGTCAAAAAATGAGGTCTGAGCAAGCCCAAACAATGCTTTGGACTAATGATGACAGATAAATAGAAGAATGGAAAACCAGAACTTTAAGTTGGACAAGGAAGAAGAAAGCTTGATTTTGATAACAAAATCTGGCAACAAGCTGTTTATTTCAGGTTCTAAGAGAATCGCAGTCTATGAGTTTAGTCACAATGGAAGTACCTGATGGCTTGGATGAAGAAAATGTTTTAGTTTGTGGTATATGTGCAGGTTCTTTGACGCAAGCTCCGTATTTCCAAAGAATAAACCAAACGATACCCAAGCATACAACAAAGGCTGAAAAAGATGACAGAATAATCACAGCTATCATGCTTTGTGTAAGCCCCTCTCTCTTTCTCTTTGGAACATTGACTCCTAAAGGTTTTATCGCTTGTCCATGATAGTTACGGCCAGTGTATGGCCCATCATCGACAGCAGAAACACTTGAACTCGCAATAGGCGGGGAGGGTGGAAGACCTGCGCAGGTTAAGACAAGAGGCTAAAGATTCTAGTCTCCTAAAATCTTCAAATCATGATATATCTGATAGTGAAATTATCCTGAAAAGAATTGAGAAACTGATATATTACCTGGATAGTGAACATATGCAACTTCATAGGAACCGAAAAGAGAAGCCTTTATGAAGATCTGTCGGTTCCAAAATTTCTTATAGATTAATAATGCGGTTGAATGGTCAAATTTTACTTCCCATGGTACCAGGTTGATGAGGACCGTACTTTTCTCTAGCTCCTGACTAGCAGCATTTGCTCCCATAATCCGAACTTGACTGTGATTTAGTCTTACACTATCAGCAATTTCCTGAGCCAGTTTTGAAACCAAAGGAAAAAATGTGTATATCGAAACACCAAGCCGAAGCTTAATTTGAATTGGCCAGACACAACCACAAGGTGATCCTGGAGGTGTGTATGTTAAGGGCTCGCTGCATGCCACTGACGTACAATCTGCAAATTGTATCAAATTTAAACTTTGTTTTCTTTTCATAAGAAGGTTATTGATCCAAGAAATCTAACTGAAACGCTAGGGAGGTCATTGGTACCTTTATTAGGAGGTGGAGGTGGTAGTGCCATAACGATGGATGGTGGCGGAGCCTTCATCTTCTTCACAGAAGAAGCCATCGGAGAAATTGCCGGTTGAAGAATGGGCACTTCTACAATCATGAAGAAAATATGATACTTATTAGTAGCTAGATTAAATTAGAAAAGGAATGAAATGTCAAGGAAATGAAAGAATTGTAAGATGTTTCATACTATGAAAGTGGCTTGATGGGGCCGTAGGTGCTGGTGCTGGTGAAACCCAGCTAGGAGAAGAATACTGAGAAGGAGAAACTGCAGGAACTGTACATTTACAAGTATTTTAAATGTAAATATATATATATATATATATATATTAATTAGTTTTAATACTCAATAATAACTACTAAGGGCCACCATGGGAGAGAATCAGACCTTGCTGAATGGAAGCAGGTAGATGAATTGAATAGGAGGGTTGAGGAGCAGAATTTCTGAAATGTTTCCTTGCATGATGATGCTTATAAAACCATATTGAAGGTGAGGATACAGGACCAAGCATCCGATTTTTCCCAGGGAATCCAAATGATGGTGAAGTAGGTGCAACCAAAATACTTGAAGGCTTCAAGGCATGGTGTGGATGGATGGCTACAAATCAAAGAGAAGAACCTTCATTGATTGTTTCAAGTAGGAAAGTTAATTCCATGACAATTGCTTTTTTTTGAAAGATGAAAAGTATTCTAGTTTATCCACTCACCTTTATTTGGAGAGTGATCCAAGGAAGATGATAAATGATGCAACACTTTGCTAGAAGGGGAAGAGGCTAACTTTCCATTTCTTGTCCTGCCAAAGGCGGGAGGTGTTCGTGTCAGAGAAGGCGCTCGATCTGTAGCATCATATTAAAACAGATCCAACCAACATTAATCATTACAGACTATCATTATTAGACACTATCAGCAATGACTGTGATGCTATGGAAACACAATTAACTGGAAAATTTAGTTGTCTGTCCTGCAAATGTGTCTTATAAGATCATTAGATGGCACCATGGTCTTTGTCTAGTATGCACTTTTTCATATAAAATAGGATATGTGCAGTCTTAGTCTATCAAAATCCCATTTTGTGACATTCACCTGGATCTGTTGATGGTGGTTGGCCTAGCCCGGTATTTGGTGCTTCTGCAGGCATTCTTATTGGTGGCGGCCACGAAGCTCTTACTGCATCAAAAACACCAATGGAACCAAAAAAGATTGGCGGATTAAGCAATGCACCCAGAATCAAATGCTTAAAGTTAGTGATGTCAATGATGAACTTCATGATAACATTTTCTATATCATGACTGCTTGAATAGCTTCTGTAGTATATTGTTCTGCTATTTGAATTCTAGGACCAAGCAGAGTTAAGAGCTACTATATAGCCACATTACAGTCTGAGAGAGAGAGGGAGAGACAACAAGGATAAGCACGACAGTAAAGAATGTAATTGCAAAAATTTATTAACTTCATGTGACCCACAACAAGGCTAATACATGTGTATTGATCTTTCTGATTTCAGGTTCTTTGATGTGTCTGTTTATCAACATGAACCAGGTTTCACAATGCTGTGTCTTTCAAGATAAAATTGTACTTTCCAACTTGAAAATGAAACATAATTTTATAAAACCGGTGACTGATCCAACAGGTCATGATTTCTGTCAAGTTTTTTAATGATAAATCGTTTGGTTATCCCAAACATTTTCTTCAGAGATAATGATGGAGTTAATGTACCAGCACCATGTAAATCAAAGCAATCTATTGGTTTCTCTGGAGACAAGCCCCCCATCATCATCATCGATATCCATAAGCCATGAATTTTCGGACAATTTATCAATGACATACAGCCGTTAGCTTATGATTGTGAGACATGACCAAAAAGTTTCCCCTTAAACCCATAGATCGCCAGTAAATACTATTCCAGGAATCATGAAATGTGAAAACACCAACTTCAAATTCACTCATTAAGGCCTTCTTCGTGATCATGAAATGCAGATTCTATCTGATACTTAAATTCTCCACTGAGCCAATTTCTCACAAGCTAAAAGGCATACCATCCTAGTAGCTCTTGATAACTGAAACTAAAATAACCCAGATCTTTAAAATGGATGTTGAGTTTCATGAAAATATCAATAAACTAAAAGGAAAACAAATGCATGGATCAAAATTAAACTGCCAAAAAAAACCCCAACTTAGAAGAAAACAGATATAGAGACAACATTACCTGATGATCCATCAACCGACATAGCACTAAGAGCAATGAGACCCAGGAACAGCAGTAGAGTAAATTCAAATTGAAAATGAAACCCCATTTTTTTTCTTAAAACTTCCAAAAAACCTGGAACTCAATCTCCAAGAAGTTTCATCTCTCTCAGGCCTCAGCCAATCATCAAAGCAAGAAAAATATAACAGAAACAAAGCAGTGAAAACTGAAACTACCCCCTGAAGCAAAAATTGGGTGTATAACATAAAGGAACAAGCTATGCTACTCTGTTTAAGAGTACAAAAGAAGACCCCACCAATGGTGCACCACCAAAGTAGAGAGCCAAGGGATTAGGTAACCAAAAAACACCCCAGGTGATCCCTTTATTAGAGACTAATAAAGAGAAGACTGGCATAATTCTATAATGGAAGAGCAGCTTTTTTTCATTACTGACCGAAGGTAACTATAAGTATCCCCACACACGTACACGCAAAGATCAAAGTTTTACTGGAGCTGATCAAAGCAAAATACTATTAAAGTAGAACAGTGAAGTTAAAGGAGCTTGGTCCAGCTCCAAGACACTTTCCAGTGAGAGAGAGAATTGTAGTGGGTATGTTTGGCTGAATTGTTTAACATTTTTTTCAGCTTATAGTAGGATCAATAGACACAAGTCCACTTTTGCATTATGACATTTGCGACTTAGAGATTAGACTAATTTCCAATTATTCAACCATTTAACTTTTTTGGGTAAATGACAATTTTCATCATTCAACTTTAACCTTATTCCTATTTTAGTCACTAGAATTTAATTCATTTAATTCAATCACTTGAATTATTCTTATTTTGGTCACTTTATCGTTAAATAACTAATAATGTTATAATATGACACAAGAAATCAAAATAACATCATTTTAGAAAAGCTAAATTTGCATAAAAACAATATCATTTTGGATCATCTAAAACTCAATTTGCTCCTTTTTCCTCATTTTCCTCCTTTGCCTATTTTATTCCTCTTTGTTTCTCCATTTTCCCATATTCTAACTACTGTTTGTTGCAACCGACCACTAAATCGACTGCCGTTTATCATCGTTATTCAACTGATAAATTGTAAAATTTCTTATCGAACTCATTTCACCCTTCTAAATATAAATCTAATGTTTGTTTAATTGAAAAGCACATCAAACTCTACAAATCTAATATCTAACAATTTCAAGACATCGAACTACCATCATCTGACAATACTTTCATCCAACAATAATATCGTTTGACTCTTTTTTCTTTTAGCGATCTCAACATTTGACTATCGGATCACTATAGTTCTAAGGTATATTTTTCCTCATCAAGATTCATATTTTTACTATTGAGATTCTCCATCTAACCATCAAAACTTGGGGTGATGTGTTTGATTTTTGGGATGGACTGAGGTAATAGCTCGTGTTAAGCATTAACAAAGGTAATAAGGTGGATGACATGACAACGAAAGGAGGAGCAAGGATAGTGTTCGGTGGAGCTGGGTGATGACGAGATGTTGTTAGTGGGAATGGCACGTATTTGATTGTGTTTCGCTTGATGTTTGTTATATTTTTCGCCGGTGAGTATAAGAGTTATTAATAGGATGATGAATGATAGTGAAGAAATGTGTGTCTTAAGTGGTCTAGAGACTGTTTGAAATTTGAACGAACGTTTATATGACTCAAAAATTAATAAAAATGTTAAGTTGGCACAAAGTTAAAGATAAACGATTAATCGATCAGAATAAAAACAATTCAAACATTCAGTGATTAAATTAAAAGTTTTTAAATTTTATTGATCAAAATAAGAGTAAGGAAAAAAATAAATGACTAAATTTATAATTTACCAATATATAGGATTATTTTTTGGAAAAATAAAAGGGGCAGTGACATTGACAGGTATTTCAATAGATCGAGGGGAAAATACTTGCCCCCGCAAGGGACAATTTAGGTAGAGTAAGGTAGTTATTTTGGATGGCAATGTTGGACACCACCTCCACCGACCACCGTTGTGTTTCACGATTCTTTATTTGGTACAATAAACGCACCGCTTAAATGTGTCGGTGAAATACTTAAGTTCTTATTAATATAAGCCAGCTCAATGGATTACATTGTAAGTTTCTACCGCTCTTCCTGTCATCTTTATGGTTAAAATCTACTCTCTTAATGGAATTAATTTTGGGATAGTAATATATTCTAATATTTAAAATTTAGATATAATACTAAAAAAATTAACATTTGTAAATCGTTATTTTAGTCTTTATTTTTTATAAAACATTTTGACATTAAATATTTTAGTTTAGGGTCAAAAGATAAGTTAACATTCAAATAAATAATCATGTTTACTTTTTTTAGTACTTTGATAATAATATTTCATTTTAGAGTAAAAAAAAAACTTATTTTAAAATATTCACTTTTGATGACTAACAATTTATATAAAGAGAATAATCTTTTTGTCTCAAAATGAAATATTGATGACTAAAATGCTTCGAAAAAATATGAATCTAAATAATTATTTAGTTAAACATTAAAGATATTTTTTATTGTTATACCTAAAATATAATATAAATGTTTGGAAAAAAACCCAAACTTTAATATGTGTTTAGCAACACATAAATCTCTGGTTAGGTATGTTTTGATCTTCAATTAGGAGATTTAATACCCCAATGATGTTAAACATAAACCACCTTTTTAGCAGGTAAACCAAATACCTTCCCTCACCCAATTTATCTTTTTCTATGACGAGATGTCAACCTTCTCTTTAAGTCTTTGATTAGGCAACAAGGATGGGTCCAACTAATTTGTGTCCGTTGCTACCTTGAGTGTTATTATCTCATCAAATGAATTAAAACGTTTAAACGTATACTTCATTTAATTATTAATAAATTACGATTTCAGCAAATATTTATTAATGTTACGAGATGATTATTAAAAAGTAATATTTGATTAATAGGTTTAAATTAATCTTCTATTATAGTTGAGAGAAAAGGACTTTCCACTTCTTATGGTGTGTTGATTCTTTGAATAGTGACATATGGATAGGGTTGTGAATTTGTCCATTTTCAATGAACTTTAAAGAGGGATCTGAATCAATTTTGCATACTAATTTCGGCCAATAACATTAACCGCCCAAATTCATATCTTTTGAATATAATATATATTCAATAAAATATTTTCGAAATCATTTTTAATAAATTTTTAACGACACTGACACCCGAGATCTGTGTCTTGTCCTGATAAACGAAGATTCAGAATCGGAATAGCTGCAATGCTGCATGTTTTAATGGCAAGACATGGCATAATGGAGCTGAGTGCAAAACATGGGCCAAATCATGAGAGGTCGGCCTAGTAAGCAACGGGTGGACCCAACAAAAATTTATCTTTTTTTTGAAATCGGATACACCAATACCGCCGAACAAGGTCGATAATATGAGGAATGAAGGAAATAGTATATCAACTAGCACCATTGGATTGAAGGAGCCTCACCGCATCCATACAATCTAACTCGACCACAACACAACAAAACTCTCTCTCCCAAACACACCAAAGACCGATGAAGACACCCTATAACTTAACTTCAATAACCATGCAAATACTAATAAACTTAACAAAGAAATTATCTTTTCACGGTGAATAAATATAATTTTTAGTCTTTAACAATAAACTTATTTAATGGATTATTATCTACTTAATTTTATACAAATATAAAATAAATCTAAAAAAAAAGTAAAATTGATTCAATTTTACACCGTGTATATAAATCAATTGTACAATAATCTTACATTACTATTTTCTTTGTCATAAAAATCTTATAAGGAGTAACATTTAAAAATAATAATTTATTTTAAAAAAAAATCACAATCACGTGATATGTTTGTGTTAACAATACTTCAATTCAACAGAAAGGAACGGTCAAAGGCAATAAGTAATTATTTTAATGCGTATTTGGGGCATCACTCGTTAGGTAAGGAATCAATTTGATGGGTTCCCTGGTTTTCTTCGATGTCCTTCATACGAAAAAAATGGAAAGCCAAGGGAATATTATTAAACATTTAAAATGAAGATTAGGTGACATCTGTGATTGTTGAGAAAATAATTTTGATATGATTAAGTATTGACTTTCATTAAAACGGTTTTAAGCAACTAATTTTCTGTTTAGGTGTCATCTTAGGTACTTTGTCAAAATTTGACATTTTGCTCATGCACTCTCTCATTTTGGCACAATGTGTAATCTTTTAAACCCTCGATTACTCTTACAGAATATCCCCAATCACCCAAGGAGTTTGGTATTTGTTTACGGTTAACTATCTTATTAATTGCAACACGTATTTAATGTTTTACTGAATTCATCACACGTGAGATACTAATGTCAGATTCCATCAAATTAATGGGTGTTTTAACCAATCAATTTTATATATTAGAATGCTGATCATGCCAGCTTCATCTGAGTTTTTATTTAGTGTTGAAAAAGGCAAAATATGAATATAAAATGTGATATGAGAAACACTAAATTTTGTTTTTAAAAATAAATTTCAACTTTTATTATACAAAATTTTAGTCTATAAAAATATCTCTAACTTCATTGAAACAAGCTTAATTGTGGAATTAAGAATCGGCTAAAATATCTCTGACTTGGCTGCTGCAACGCGTAATTACACGCTCCCAAAGCATGCGCGTCGACATAAACATTTCCTTTGGTTTCAGTTCCGTTCTCCTTAGTCAAATTACCCTGATCACACGAAGTCTCCCGACCGAACACTTAATTCCCTTTTGGTAGATTAAGTCCATAATAATTTACTTTTTCCTCCTATCTCACTCTCCTAGAGACATGCGCTGAGACGCACGCATCATCGTATCTTAAGTCGAGTATTGTCTAGTTGAAGTTTAAAGAGAAAATCGCCTCAGTGACCAAAAAAAAGTTATAATATACGATTTTAACCAACTTTTTTTGGATTTGCCAAAATGACCAACAAAATCGCAACGCGAAATAAAAATCGCAACGCGATCCCCAGAATCGCAAATCAGTTTCCAGAATCGCAACGCGATTCTTGAAAATCGCGATGCGATAGTACAAATTCGCATTGCGATTTTCCATAATCGCAACGCGAATATGAAAATCGCAACGCGAACACATAAATCGCAACGCGTATCCGTAAATCGCAACGTGTATCCGTAAATCGCAACGCGTATGGGTAAATCGCAATGCGTATCCGTATATCGCAACGCGTATCCGTAAATCGCAACGCGTATCCGTAAACCGCAACGTGTATCCGTAAATCGCAACGCGTATCCGTAAATCGCAACGCGTATCCGTAAATCGCAATGCGTATCCGTAAATCGCAACGCGTATCCGTAAATCGCAACGATAATCCGTAAATCGCAACGCGTATCCGTAAATCGCAACGATAATCCGTAAATCGCAACGAGAATCTGTAAATCGCAACGATAATCCGTAAATCGCAACGAGAATCTGTAAATCACAACACTGAAATTTTGGGTATATAACACTGAAATCATAAACTAAATCCCTAAATCGCAACTCATTCCATCTCCATCTATCACTCTCTCCGGCGACATCCGTTCCTATATCCAACGACATCCTTCCCATCCGGCAACAGGTCTTA